TCTCTCTCTCTCTCTCTCTCTCTCTCACACACACACACTCTCCTTTCTTTCTTTCTTTTTTTTCTTTCTTTCTTTCTCTTTCTTTCTCTTTCTTTCTTTCTCTTTCTTTCTCTTTCTTTCTCTTTCTTTCTCTTTCTTTCTTTCTTTCTTTCTTTCTTTCTTTCTTTCTTTCTTCCTTCCTTCCTTCCTTCCTTCCTTCCTTCCTTCCTTCCTTCTTTCTTTCTTTCTTTCTTTCTTTCTTTCTTTCTTTCTTTCTTTCTTTCTTTCTTTCCTTCCTTCCTTCCTTCCTTCCTTCCTTCCTTCCTTCCTTCCTCTTTCTTTCTTTCTTCTCTCTTTCGCTCTCTCTCTCTCACTCACACACACACACCTTCCTCTCTCTCACACCTGGTCTGGGACAAACTGATCTGGCAAGCTCCAGAGCAGCAGGCAGCGGGAGAATGAAGAAAGCAAGCAGCTCCAGGACATCCACGTGCACTCCTGGACGGAGCACCTCTGCCACCACTCACTTCTCCCGGGGGAAAAAATGAAAGGAAGTGGGTGGAGGCGGCAGAGGCGCTGCTACGGGAGGCAGCCGGGTCCCTGCCTTCCCGGACGGATCACCACTACCCACCACAAGCATCGGGCGGGTGGGTCAAGCGAGAGAGCTGCGACCAGGTCAGGGGGGTGGCCAGCCAGAAGTCACAACCAGTTTGGCGCGCAATGCCAAATCATTGCTAGCCTGAACCAGTGAGAACCGGCTGAATACTACCACTGGTGCAGATAGATAAAGGAAAGCCACAGGGAAGTTGGTCAAGAACTACCTTCTCCAGCTATAGACACCAGATCCAAAATGACAAGTTGCAGCTACATATAATTTGTTTAAACTTCCTGACTGTAAGATCTTTAAAACATTGGGATGAATGTTGTGAGTACTTTATCTCTATATGTTTTAAAGAAGAGGGTTAACATTAGAGTTAGTTAGCTGCATCATGCTGTATAAGTCCTCTAAAGATCTTCATGCCATCTCAGTATTGTACACCAATACTGTAACCCAGACTGAAAAGGGTCCAATAATCCACTTGATCCAGGATTCTCTGAAGTTGAGCAGTAACCATCTTCTCAACAGCCTTCCTCAAAAGGAAGTTTCGATATTGGATGAAAGTTGTCTAACACGATTGGGTCTAAGGGTGGCCTCTTGAGAAGGGGCACACAGACCCTTCTGTCTTTCACCTCACCGTTTTACGTGGAGGAAAATAACTATTAAGCATGGTTACACCTAACTAGTACTTGATGGAAGTGCATCAAGAGGCTACAGGCTAAAAAGCAGCAGTAAACCACTTTCATATTGCTGCCAAGAAAATTACCCAAGAAACATGCATTTTGATGCTGTAAATTTTAAATGTAGATCCAATACGGGATATATAAATAGAAGAAAAAATCATTTATTGGTTTAAGACAAATAATATTTTACATATAACAATGTTAAGGATTATCCATGTATTCTATATTTAAAATCCATAACTCCTTTCCACTTGCTATTTGTCCACAAAGTTCTTACCTCAACCTTATTGGCCAAGCGGGTCTGTAGCTGAGCCACAGAATATTACACTCTAAACTCCCCTTCTCTGCTTTAGCACCTAAACCGGGAGTCAGCAACCTGCAGCCCCAGAGCTGCATGCAGCTCTGGGCCTCTGCTGCGGCTCCCTGTCACCCTGTCGCAGCAGAAGGATGAAAGAGCCATCACCCTGTCACGGCAGTGGCATGGCTGGAGCCTTAGTGCAGGAGTGGAGCGCCCCTGCACTTGCCTTTGAGCATTCCACCTTCGGTGTGGTACATTCACTGTTGCCGCCAGCAAAGAGAGCTGGGAGAGAATGGCGGGGACGGATCTTGCGAGGTGGGGGCATCCCCCAAGCCTGGCCTTCCTCTTCCCTTGTCAACGTGCCCTAAACAGACATCCTTGTAAAGAAGACCATGATTTGCTTACCCAGCACAAGCCTGAAGGCAAGCTAGCATTGTTGCTAGAGTCTCTGGTGGAAGTTGAGCACTTTTGGGCTGATCTTTCTCTGGAGCAAGACCACCCAAGATAGAGGGACATCTTCTCTTCAAAAAAGTCATACAAGCTTGGATGAAGGGCTCCTAGGGAAAAGAAGAAGTGCAAAGCTGTATGAGTTGCATATAGTATAAGCACAAAATATTTATTAAAAAATTATAAAAGCCGGATATAAATAAATAGAAGTAGATACGCTTTGGGTGAGTTAAAGTTCAACACACTTTAGGGCATACTTTGCACGCACAAACAGAAGGACACTTTAAAATAAGCAACTGTTTTAATCAGAAAACAACTTGCAGAATGAATTAAGAAAACCCTACTTACCCCATGCTCCCGAATTTTATCTGTGAGCCATTTGTCTAGTTTGAGGTATTCCCGCCGAGAGGCAAGGGCAGCAAGGTCAATAACAAAGGCAAATGGAGTACCATTCAGCAGCATAGACAATGCCTGAAGAAAAAAAAAGCTGCTAGTCCATATGGCAAGCCTGACCTCTCTACTAGCTTTCCTGTAGCGGTCCTGCAAATTCATTTCCACCGCACAGCATTTGGGGTGGGAGAAAGCACCTGTTTTCCCAGGTGGAAGTTCCTTGGGAATCCTAAAAATTAGCAGGGTTAATGTGGCGAGAGAAATCAATGACCCCAGAAAGGGCATGCCTGCTGAAGACTGAAAGGCCCTCCTCTTCAGCATCATAACTGGTGACTACATCCTTCTAGTTCAGATTTACCACTGTTTCACACTGGACCAGGAACTGTAGGTATTTTGATGATTGGATGGAGCTCCCAATAATACTGGAATACTGTATACTGCATATTGGACAGCTAATATGCTGGAAGAAAAAAAGCTAATAGTTTGTAAGTACTATCTCACAAACTAATTAACAATTAATTAGTGCCTCCAGAACTTGTGAATGTTCGAACACTGGAAGTTTTTAAGAAGAGATTGGACAACATTTGTCTGAAATGTTATAGGTTTCCTGCCTGAGCAGGGGGTTGGACTCAAAGACTTCCAAGCTCCCTCCCAACTATTCTGTTCTGTTCTGTCCTCTCCTCTCCTAAACAGCTACTAATGGACTAGATTCACAGTGATCCCCAACCTTTTTGACGCCGCGGCCCGGTACCAGCATCAGCTGGGCGCCGGGGCCCGGTACCGGCATCAGCTGGGCGCCGCCATCTTTTTTTGATGAAAAAGTGCTTCCGGTGAGCTTTCTACCCGGAAAAGCTCACCGGAAGCGCTGGCGCCATCTTTTTTTGATGAAAACGTGCTTCCGGTGAGCTTTCTACCCGGAAAAGCTCACCGGAAGCACTTTTTCATGAAAAAAAAGATGGCGGCGCCCAGCAAGCCGCGGACCGGTAGGAGTTGTTCCGCGGACCGGTATCGGTCCGCGGACCGGTGGTTGGGGACCCCTGGACTAGAAGATCTCCAAGGTCCCTTCCAATTCCGTTATTATAATTATCTGAGAACTGAGGTAGCTTGTTCATCTGTCAAACCCAACATCAATGTATTATATTATGGCTACCTAGATTTTCTTGCAGAAGCTGGGGAGTAGTTTGGCTTGGGAACAACTTAAGTACAGGCCTGTTTCCCCCCAGTTGTACCTACCTATCCCATTAGATCCAGGAGGGGCATGGTCTGTATCCAATCTACTAGGGAGCGATTCGCCCTCCTGGTGGGTGGAGCATGCTGAGAGCTAGGCCCCGGTTGAGGCTCCCTGGGGTGGAGTCTGTAGCCTGGTGCTTGAGGTTTTTTTTTTTGGGGGGGGGGGGGGGGGGGGAGACGACCCAGTCTTTCTTTCAGGTGGGCAGGAAGCTCCCTCCCACCATGCAGCCATGCAGGTTGAGAATCAGGCACTCCTGGGAACCGCTCCCTGGCTGGACACGGAACTCTGGCTGGAAGGAGTCTCCTTTGGGCTATTGAGCACCAGCCTGCACATCTACTTGGTGCTACAGCCCTGGCCCTGGTGGGTGCTGCAGCTCTCATGCCAGCAGTGCGTGGGGTAGCTTTAGCGGGAGGTAGGAGGCTGCTAGGTAGCAACTGGGGCTTGGAGGTGAGCTGCGCTGGGCGGAAGGCGAGGTGGCTGCAGAGCCACCACAGGCGACCAGGGAAAGTGCCATGCTTGCCTCACACGGGCAGCATGAGAGCTGTAGCATCCACCAGGGCCAGGGCCCGTAAGGGGACTAAGCCTCCCCCTGCAGAAGCAGCATGTAGCCTCTCACACTAATGAGAATTTCAAGCAATTCTGGAAGTTTGTGGGAAGCTTGTCCTTACTGTAGAAGCAAAACACAGCATGTCCCTTTCTAGCAAGCATGTGCGTGCGTGTGTGTTTCAAGCCCAAAGGAGGAAAGGGTAATCTCCTCCTCCCTCCCACTGCATCCATGAGGTGACTGGGGAAGGGAAGGGCTGCCTTCTGTGCTGGCCACGCCAACCCCCTTCACTAGGGCTTATTTTTTCGGATAGGCCTTATATTAGGCCCACTCCAAATAAATCAGGCTAGGCCTTACTTTTGGGATAGGTCGTAAACACGGTATTTGTTGAGGTTATTGTTTGTTCTTCAGTGTAACATTTTTCTGGAGATATGGGTGGTTGGTGATCCGAGCCAATTTTTTCCCCTTCACCTTTACAATTTTAAAAATATAATACAAAAATGTGCTACAAACTGCATAGTAGAAATAGGGTTGCGCCTGGAGCCGTATTAAAGATGGCTCAAGTCCTAAATTTAAGGTGCTTTTTGTTTTCTTTACACGTTTTAGAATAAAACTGCAATATAAGAACAAATTGAGGTAAAGATAGTCTCCCTTACATCAAGCAAGCATGGTGTGTGTGTGTGTGTGTGTGTGTGTGTGTGTATCAAGCTCAACTCCTGGGACTTTAAAGTCCGCTTCCAGGATTTTTTTTTTTAATCCATTTCAGTTCCTGCCTGGTATTTGCCTCTAAGCAAATACTATCCAAATCAAATCAAAGGAAAAACATACTTTATTAAATATTAAGTATTTACTTTCCAAATCTGGAAGCACTGTTTTACTGAAAACACTTCCAATTTATTATAGAAATGTGTTTGGAATAAAAGAACCATTTATAAATGTATAAAATTATTTGGTTCTAATACAGTTTAAATTTGGATTCTTTAAAAGAGTCTTGCATAATGAATGGAACCATATGCCTTAGCTATGCTGCTTGATAATAGATTATGAAACTGGGCGTTCCCTGCCTCTGTGTTTCTGAGGTTTATATAAATTCCTTTTTAAAAAAAATCTGAACTTTCTTTTTGCACAAGAAAGAACTTCTCTCCCACTCTCTCTGTCTCTCTCTCTCTCTTTCTCTCTCTCTTTTTCTTTCTTTCAAGTGTCTTAAAATGCACACATACACACCCAAGAAAACTCCCATTTCCACTGAGAAGTCCCAAAGTAGAAATTTGAAGCTAGCAAAGATTTTCACTTTCACTGCCCCAATTTGCCTTATAATATTGCATTTTTTTGAGTCATGACTGTTGCTGTTCATTTTTGTCTTCTGCTACATGTGTCATTTTGATCATTTTGATATATGGTTTTTATCTTGTTTCTAAGTATTGTTAAAATAATGTAAAAAAATTATGATCGTCGCATGGTCTCTGGGGTCACGTGATCAAACTTCAGGTGCTTGCCAACCAGCCTGCACTTATGATGGTTGCAGTGTCCCAGGATCCCAAAAATGCCATTCACAACCTTTCAAAGTTAATGGGGAAGTCAGATTTGCTTAATGGTTATATGATCTCCTTAATGACTGCAGGAAAAAAGATCATAAAATTGGATATAAATCACTTAGCAACTGCATGGCTTAAGTGATACAAGTTCCGGTACCAACTTTCGTTGAAAGTCAAGGATCCTCTGTACTCAGGCATGATATTCCCCTCTGAAAAAAAAATCGGGGCCGGCCAAAAGAGACCCCCCACCGCGCGCCAAGAAATCGCCCGCCCGCCGCTCGCACCGCCCGCCCGCCGCTCGCACCGCCCGCCCGCCGCTCGCACCACCTGTCCGCCCGCCGCTCGCACCACCCGCCCTCCCGGGCTCCGCTCGCACCGCCCGGGCGATTCCCCAAAAAATCGGAATTCCGATTTTAATCGGAAAAATATTATGTCTGTGTACTGTAATTTACCAATTTAGCAATATGGCAGCATCTTAACTTAAAGACAAGGCATGATTCTCCTTGACTTATCCCAAAGAGTTATTACCACACAAGTGTAATCAAGACTAAACCTCATACTTTGTTATGTATTACATTAACTTTTGTAATATGGTATATAAAAACCAGCTTGCCAGTATTGTATTGTGATTAAGGCCCTAGCTAGAAACCAGGAGACTGTGAGTTCTAGTCTCGCCTAAGGAAGCAGGGAATGGCAAGCTACTTCCAAAATCTTGCCAAGATTAGTCCAGGCAGTCACTAGAAGTCAACACTGACTTAGGAATGTGCACAAAAAAATAAAAAAACATGGAGTTTTCCTCTGGGCCAGAACTGTATGTTTGGCACCAACACTAGTACTATAATAATCCAAAATAGAAGCAACACAAAAATTGGACTCACCTTCAAGTCTTGGGCCACATCTAGGATACGTGATAATTTTGCTTGGTCATACTGTTCTCCTCTCATGTACCATTCTGCCATAGCATGCATGATGAGCTGACGAATTGAAGGGGACTGACCCTAAGAACAAAATTAAATGTTAGTCTAGTCCCATAATTATTTAGTTGTTGGCTTGGTGACAGAGACCAGATTCTTGCTCCTCTATTATTATAATCCGTGATAATCCACTGTAATTGGATATGCTGGATTTGAGCCCAGGGCCACAGTAACGTCAAGGTGCAAGGCTGAGAGCACTAACTCTCATGACCTTCCTCTAATCCATCCACCAATCTCAAAGCAAGAAGGGAATTGCCTATGGAGGTTCTCAATCCTCCAGGTCACAGTTGTCCCAAAGGTACTTTTCCAAAAGGCAACTGAACTTTCTTGGGGCTTAGAAACGTTTTGCTTCTCACCCAAGAACTGAAGAAGCTTCTTGGATGAGAAGCAAAACCTTTTCAAAGAAAAAAAATCCAAGAATGTCCAGTTGCCTTTTGAAAAAGCACCTTTCGGACATTTCTGATCCAGGTCTCTCAATGGGGCAATCCAGGCAAAACACATGAAAATCCACCACTCTGAAAGCCTTTCATCAAAGGGAGAGGCAACACCAAGTGGAAACCAGAGGTAGGCAACACATAGGAAATACACTGTCCCACTTCTGCTCTTCTTGCCCATCTCTTGCCCTCTTAGTTGAAACCACATCCACTACCTCTACTTCTTGATGTTTTATTTACTGCAATTATTTACTTTCAGCACACTGCCAGACATGCCTGGTCTGTAGGAAGCAGCATTGAGGGAAGCCAATTAAGAGGATTATTGGGAGCAACAACTGTGGCATTTAATTGATTTTCAAATGCTTCTCCTGTGATCAAAGATGCTAAAGTTTGCCAAATACTTAAATATTTCCCCCACCTTTCCATAAAGGCATTTATTCAGATAGCTAATTAAATGCAAGTGCAACTTCTTTCTGGAGGGTATTTGGCACCCAGAAGAATCAGGCAGGCCACACAGCATTGATAATTAGTGCTGTTGGAATCCGCAATAAGAAAACTCTACAAAAACATTCCTCTCTCTCCAACACAGCAAATGCATATGCCACAGCAGGCTCTTCTCCACTTTTCTTTATTCCAAACAATCTCACAACAGATTCCAGGTAGTACTTCAGTACTGTCTCTTCTTTATTCCTGGATCTGACAAGCATGAAAGAGAGCTGGGAAATCATCAGGCTATTTAGAGTGAACTCCAAGGCTCTAGACCGGGGTAGGCAAACTACGGCCCGCAGGCCACATCTGGCCCGTTGGTCATTTTAATACGGCCCGCCTCTGGAAAAAAAAAACCGGGGCCGGCCAAAAGACACCCCGCGCCGCACGCCAAAAAATCGCACACACAACACGGAGCTGGGCAGCCGCTTCCCTGGTGGCGGGGTCGAGGTCACCGCCCAGGGAACGCCCACTGCTTTCCCTTGCCAGGGCCGGGCGGTGGCGTGTTGCCCTGCGCCGCGTGGCCCCCGCCTGGCAGCGCGCTTCTCGGCTGGTCTCCTCCTCCTCGGCCATACAGAACAAACAGGCAGAGAAGGAGGAGACCAGCTGGCTGGTTGGGGGAAGCTTTCTGCCCCGAAAGAGGCAGCTACTAATCTCCGGCTTTGCTCCGCTTCTCCAATGGTCCGGCACCACTCTGTTCTATGCACCGGCTGCTCGGACTTGCTGGGCCTGACACATAGAACAGGGCGGCGCCGGATGTTGGAGAAGCAGAGCGGAGCCGGAGATCATTAGCCACCTCTTTCGCAGCACAAGAAGCCTCCCCCAACTGGCCAGCTGGTCACCTCCTTCTCTGCCTGTTTGTTCTGTATGGCCGAGGAGGAGGGGACCAGCCGGCTGGTTGGGGGAAGCTTTCTGCGCTGAAAGAGGCAGCTACTCATCTCCGGCTTTGCTCCGCTTCTCCAATGGTCCGGCACCACCCTGTTCTATGCGCCGGCTGCTCGGACTTGCTGGGCCTGACACATAAAACAGAGCATGCTGCAGGCATCTCGCAACAAGCCCCAGGACATGTGGTCACCTGCTGGCTGGCTGGGCCAGGCCGGGCTGGAAGAGGCACGTTCTCCAGAAGAAGGAAGAAAGCGCTCCGGGAGGGCGGGTGCCGGGCAGGTGGGCGGATGTTCCGGGACCACTTAAAGGTCGACTTTAAGAGTGCCCCCATGGAAGAAGCCGAGCAAACGTAGTGGCGGCAGGGGTGACGGGGCATGTGTGTCCCTCCACAAGGAGTATGAAGGGAGGCAGACACCGCACCTCTCAGGAAAAAAGTAGGTGTCAAAGCCCTGGCTGTCACCTGGGAGGGGACCATGGAGGGACCCATCACATGCCCTTGTTGCCCCCGCCGCCTCTACTTTTGTTCTCGTTCTTGGCTTCTTCCATGGGGGCGCTCTTAAAGTGAATCTTTAAGAGCTGGAAGACGTTTTGTTAGATCGCCACCAGCTCATCGTTGGGAGAGGTGTAGCCCCTGAATACACGAGAAGTCTTGGGCAAAGTTCTCTGACTTTTAAAACGCATCCGTGCGGTATTTGCCTCCCTTCATGCTCCTTGTGCATGCCGGGAGCACCTAACTGGAGCAAAAGAGAGCGAAGTTGACTGCTATGAAATGAGCACCTTGGCTTCCCCTCTTGCTCCTCACAGTTGCCCTGAGCTGGTGCGGTTCTTTACTTGGGCAGCCAGACGCCCGCAGCAGTGCCCGCAGCAGCAACAGGCAGTTCCACCCGGGCTCCGCTTAGGTGTCCGGCTGGGGCTGTCAGGAGTTGCTACCGCCGGCGCAGCTCCGCGTGGCTCCAGTCCTGCGTTGCCTTGGGAAGGGAAAGGCAAAACCAGGAGCCGCTGAGCCTGAGCCTCCAGTGCCGCTGCTGCGGCTCTTCCTTTTTGCCTTTCCCTTCCCAAGGCAACGCGGGACTGGAGCCGCGCGGAGCTGCGCCGGCGGTAGCAACTCCTGACTCAGGGGGCCTCCGAGGGGAGGGGAAGGAGAAGGGGGGGAAGGGGGGGCGATTCCCAAAAAATCTTGTGCTGACCCGGCCCGTCTGTCAAATTTTAAAAGTCAATGAGGCCCCTGAGCCAAAAAGTTTGCCCACCCCTGCTCTAGACCAGGGGTTCCCAACCTTGGCAACTTTAAGACTTGTGGACTTCGACTCCCAGAATTCCTGAGCTAACTTGACTGGAGGAGGAATTCTGGGAGCTGAAGTCCAGAAGTCTTAAAGTTGCCAAGGTTGGGAACCCCTGCGAGTCTAGACAATCTCTCTCAATGACTTCATAGCATACAACAAGGTCCACAAACTGGCCACCAGTCCAGAAACTGGTGCCACACAAATGAGTGAAACCCCATCTGCACACACGTGGAATGTAGTCAGAGCACGTAACCATGCCTCCCAGGTCTACAGAAAAACCTCTTTCCACAGAGCCGTCCCTGGTGTTGAAAAGGTTGGGGGCCTCTTGCATATACAACAACAGAGCTCAGCTTGAGGCACATCACATAACTAAATCCACACTACACCACTCTTCTGAGGCCAAAGAAAAAGCAAGGTATCTCCACTTTTGCCCCTTTCAAATCCTTACCTGCCCGTGCCATGCATAATGCAAGATGATAGCAGAATTTGGGTGGTTGCCAAGGAAAATGGGCATAAGGGTGGAGATGAGTTCATGCCGCAAAGTATGCCAAGAAGTGTTGATCTGTAGCAAAGCCAAGACCAACATATCTGGACAGTGCTTGATAGGGAAACTGAAGAGCTGCTTGACTTGTTCATACTGGCCCACCTCTGCCAACCGCAACAGGGACTCAATCAAATCTAGGCTCTTCCTAACAAAAAAGAAACAAAATTGAAATTTATGAGCAAGTTCACATGGCTTTTTAGCTTTACTTAAATACTTCTACATTGTTACTTGCAATGAGAATGCTGCTACTCTTTGTACACTCCAGCAAAGATCATGTTCCCATTTGGATTCTTACAGTATAATGTCCTACATGAGACTGCTTTGAAAAGTGTACAACTGGCCCAGAATACGACAGCCAGACTGACTCTGCACCTGCTTACGATGTACATAGGATTCCTTCCTAAAATAGCTAGTTTGAATCTGGATGCAATTCAAAACACTAGTTATTGCACAGAAAACTCCAAATTTCTGGGACCTGAAAGACCATAGTCACTGTGTATACTGGAAACATTTGCGAACTGGCTTTTTTAATGAGCTTTCATTGTCCTGAATTATACTGGTTTTGACTACATTTATCAGTGGAAAAATCTTGTAAATAAATGTTCAAGGTTTGAAAAAGGCAGGCTAAGAATTAAAAACACAGGCTAAGAAAGCTTCAGAGTTACATAAGTCCCTCTTTTTGTCTCTCATCTCTCATTATTGCAAAGTATAAAAAAAATGGGACCATCCATGGAATTTACACATTTAACTTTTATGCAACTTATTATAGTCTAGCCAATACATTCAGTGCTTGGAACTATTCCCCTACATTCAGTGCTTGGAACTATTCCCCTACTAATCTTACTATTTGTTTAATATATCACCTTTATTATTTTTATAAATAACACAAAGCCGCAAAAATACCAAACATTTCTTCTTCTCCCCCTTTTCCTCACAGGAACTCTGTATGGTGGTTTGGGTTGAGTGAGAGTGACTGGCCCAAAGTCACTGAGCTGGCTTTCATGCCTAAGGCAGCACTAGAATTCAACATCCCCTGGTTTCTATCTGGTGCCTTAACAAAAATGCCCCTCTTTGGTTGATTCATATAACTGTCTGTGCTCTTGGAGCTTCAAAAATTATTTCCATCAGAGAGGTCTCATGATAAATACTGTCCTCACTATGACCCCGCCAAGCAAGTGCATCTTAAGAAAAGCAATATGCTTACCATGTGGCAATTTCTCGATTATCATCCTCAGGTGGTGCTTTCAAGATCTCCGTGGAAACAGTATGACAGGGATAGTCAGCAAAACAGAAGATCTCTGGGTTAATGAGGGAATACTGAATGAATGAGAGCTGCAAAAAATGACATCATTGGAATCATCATTTCAGGCCTTTAACCACATTACGTGTGGATCTTCATCATCTTTTCCTTCACATTTTGCCCCCACTCTTATGCATTTAATTAGTTTTGATTTTCCTGCTCACTTTCAAAACAAAATTTAAAACATTGATTTGTTCTCTTGCCACAACCAATTTATCATTTGTAACACTGCATTATTGCATTACTAGAAAGGGGGTGGGGGAAATCTCATATGCCTAAAGCTCAGTTTCTAAAGCAAATATTTTATTCCTTGTAACTCTCAAAGTTAAGTTTAATTTTAGTTAACATCTACAATCAGCAAAGATGTTGTGATTGTTGCTATCTCCCTTGCTATAAATCCTAATTCTTTGAAATCCCAATAATATGTACTAATAATTCAAAGCATTCATTCAAAAGCTTATCATTTGAAAGATCAGCTATTTTTTAAAAATTCTAAATCATGCTACACCCAAGTGAAGACTCATGAATTAACAAATAAGTAAATCTCATAAACAGTGGTATAGTCATTATAAAAAATTAAAATAGAGAAAAAATCTGAGAGCTGCATATTTACCTGGCCTTCAGCATGTTTCCAAGGTCTGTATATTAGATCAACTGGAAAAACCTCCAGTCCTAATCCTCGCTGAACTCCAAAGACTACAATTTGCAGGCCCTTGCTATCACGAATTTGAAATCCAGGGTGGTCCAGCTCATAGGTTACTTCCTTGAAATTTAAGGTTGGGTTCTGCAGAGGATATAAAGAGGCAGTAGTTTAATATGCAATATTTCCCACTTTTCCATGGATTAACATAGCACAGTCAGATGAATACATTTTAAAAAGTACAGAAAAGGTGAGGTTTACTGTTTTCCTAGCCCTAAAACACAAAACAAAACAACAAAAAAGATGAAGTGACTAGTTTACTCCAAGTTTATCAAGGAAAGAAGGGAATATTTGGATTGGACATAGGAAGCTTTTATGCAAGGACACAGATAGCAAAAAGCCTCCCGGAAGATTAAAAAAATAATTATCAAGAGGATGCTGTGTGGAAGGAAGGAATGTGACCCCACAAAGCTATTCACTATAGTTTGAGAATATATTCCCTTCCTTGCCACTGATGATGTTTTAGGTTTCCTAAATGGAGATGGAAGAACAGCTAACTTCCACCTCAGGAATCAAGAAATCAGACTCCAGCCCCTTTGCAAGGGAAGGAGGATCCCTGCCTCTGCCCTGGACAAAAGGGAGGTAGTGACTGCAACACCCTATTGAGAGGGGCTGAAGCAGCATTGGCTGGATAATCTGCCAAGAGAACAAAGTAGTTCTTTCTCCCTCAGAGACATATGGTATGAACATAAAGATTTAAAGACTTCTTTACATCCACTGAGAATTAGCCCATTCTCTTGATCCACTAGATAGTTCAAATGACTCAGCCAGACACAACTTTAAGGACACTGCAAGGAACTATGAAGGGCTGGGAAGGAAAATGGAAAAACTGGATCCAGGGAGAATAAAAAATATATTAGAAGCCAACAAGTAATCATGCACTGCGAACTTTAGTTTTTTGATAATGAGACACATTTTCAAAACAGCAGACTCCTGGTGAGATGGTCTGTATCTCACAAAACCGGGAAGAATGTGTTTGAAAGGCAACATGCAAATCTGAAAGCTATGGAGGAAGAAGAAAATAGCCCAGAAACAGCACAAGACCAAGCACCGAGAATGGGATGGGGTTGGAAGGAGTCTGCAGAATACAGAGGTGCCCAGGTGAGCCAAGGATCCCCATGTTGCTATACAAATACACACAGCATGGAAAAGAAGAAGCAAGTTCTTAAGCAGAGAAGGCTAGCTTAGCAGGCATTACTGAAATCTGCGGGAGGAACTCCTGAATGGGATGTAAGGACTGAAGGGCAGGATGTATTCAAAAGGAAGAGAACAGACAGAAGAGAAGGATAAGTAGCACTCTACATGAAGTGCACATATCACTGAAAACCAGCACAAGGTTCAGTTCAGAGGTAATAGCATCTCAGACATTAATGAGGTTGGAGTTGTCAGGCAGGCAGAAGAGCTGGATAAGATTCTTCTGGACAACATAACAACGTTTTCAGAGAGGCTGCAATGAAGGCGGATATTATGGACACAAGATTTCAGGAGAGTCAATCTTAGCTAGCTTGGAGAAGGACTAGACAGGATCCCATGGAAAACCTCCTCAGCTCAAACGATGTACAAATGCTGGGAACTTTTGAAAAGATAAGCTACTGGCAGTAGCACTCAAGTCTTATATATCGCTTCACGGTGCTTTCCAGCCCTCTCTAAGCGGTTGACAGAGTCAGCCTCTTGCCCCCAACAATCTGATTCCTCATTTGGCCGACTTTGGAAGTATGGAAGGCTGAGTCATCCTTGAGCCTGGTGAAATTCAAACTGCCAAATTGCAGTCAGCTGCAGTCAGCAGAAGTGACCTGCAGTACTGCACTCTAACCATTGCACCACCGCAGTACAACCAGGCATTGTTCCAATGAGACAAATATGTGGGCAATTGAGGAAATCAATTAAACTAAGAGTTAAAAGGAGATCTAGAGCAGGGGTCCCCAACAGGCTGTGGCCTGTTTGAAACCAGGAGAGATGAGCGCGCATGAAGTGAGGTCGCTTGCAAGCATGTGCAAACCTCCACTCATGTGAATGGAGCGTCTCCACTCGTGTGAGTGGAACTTTGCAACGGATCACAAGTGCCCTTTGCTCAAGCACGAAGCTCTGTTCACATGACTAGAAAGCGCGTACACCACTCACATAAAGCAAAGGCACAAAAGGGGGAGGGGCTGCAAGAAATAGTAGGAGAGGAACAAGGAGCTTTACTTTGGGGGCCTGAAATAAATCAGACCCTTAACATGAGTAGCAACCCTAGGAAAGCATCAGGATTACGTCAAAGCACTGGACTACTATGAATGAATTTAAATTACCAAGACCAGTTCCTGAATGAACCTGGGACTGCCAGCTTGTGGCCTCTTCTCTGATTGTCTATGGCAGGGGTGTTAAACTCAAGGCCCGTGGGCTGGATCCAGCCTGCGGGGGTGCTTAGATCTGGCCCGTGGGGGCATCCTGGAAACAGTAAAGAAACCAGGCAGTAACTGTGAGAGGGATCTTGGAGTCTTAGTGGGCAGCAGCTCAATATGATCCAGCAGTGTGCAGCGGCAGCCAAAAAAGCCTATGCAATCGTAAGCTGCATTAACTGAGGGATACAATCAAAATCAAGTGAGGTATTATACTATTATTATTATTATTATTATTATTATTATTATTATTATTATTATTACTACTACTACTACTGCTACTACTTTTATTGTCAGAGTACAACATGTGTACAATAAGATTGACCTCATGTGTACAATGAGCCTCCCTTCGTGCACCCCTCTCCCCAATAGAACTCAGTGAGGACAGAAGTCCCCAACCCAGGGGACTTCCGGTTTGAGCTTCTACAGCGACAGACCGAAACCACGACTCTGCGCGGTTTCGATTTGTGCTCGCCGCTGGAGCGCCCCGAGCCGGCTGGTTTCGGGGCTAAGCCACTCCGTAGAGGTGGTAAAGAAGGGGGAGACTGCCTACAGGGTTGAGGAGAGCCGCATCTCTCCTCCTCAGTTGGCCATTACTCCCGTTCCCAAAGGCAGTTGTAGCAGTCAGAAATGGCCACCACAAAGAAGAACTCGACCAGAAAAGAATGTGCAGGAGGAAGATAAGAAGAGAAAGTTTTGGTTGACCAGGTCAAACAGCAAAAGCAACAAACAAGGTACCCTGGAATTGAAACTAGTAAAAAAAATAACACTGTTCCCAAAGAAGATTTTTAAGCAGCGAAGGAGAGAGAAAAGGGAAAAGATTTGGTTTTCTTTTTTTTTTCTTCCTTTTCCTTTTCCTATACTGACAGCTAAGAGACTTAAGCAAGAAATTCGAAAAAAATCCACTTTGACATTAATAGGCATTTAATGCTGAAAATAAAAAGTCAAAGGGATAATAAAGATTTCTGGATACTTAAAAGCCTTTGAAAACAGGAAAGGGGAGAAAAAGAATAAAAGGGCAGGATCTGGAAGGGAGGAGACTGCCTGGAATTAAAAAGAACTTACCGTAAAATCTCAACAAGACTTCTAAAAGATACATCTTAACTGAAACATTGCAATAAAATAATAAAACCCCAGGAAGAGAAAGTGGAAAAAGAAATAAGAAGAAACAGCTTGGGAGCATTTGGATTACTTGGTGATCTCTGGATTTTTGGTTATTGTATTTGAATGATTAAAATCAATCGGGTGGTTGTTTAAAACTGTTTAAAATGGCTCCACTCTTAGAAGAACTGAAAATGGAACTTAAAAAGTACAAAGAAGATGCACAAGAAGGGAGAGGTTCTTTTGGCTTCACATTACAGTTCTTAGAAATGGAGATTTGGAAATATGAGAAACAACAAGAAATGCCTGCAGAACAAGAAGATTGGGACAAAGAAGAAGCCATCTTTAATGAACAAGCAATCTTAGGTGGGGGAAAAAAGGAAAGGGGGAAAAGAGAATGGAAAGTTTAAGATTGGGAAAAACAACCCCCCCCCCAAAAAATAGATTGAAAAATAAGTATAAAATCAGAAAGCAACAGAAGAGGGAAATGCAGAAGAGAGAATTAGAAGTACAAGGGGGTTAAAAGGGGAGGGAGAAGAAGAGAGGGAAGAAAGAAAGGAAAAGAAGTTATAAAGGACAGAAACAAAATATAGAGAAACAGGGCCTATTTAGAGATAATGGGTGAAAATCTAATCGAAAAAGGGATTCTGCAAAGATACATAAGATAGTATTGTTATATTAGAAATAGAAATAATTTTAGAAAATATGAAACGATGTATGATTAAAATGTTTGATAAAATAGTTATCGTAATTTAGTGGAATGTTTGTCAATAAATAAATGTAACAAAATGAATATTTAATGATTTATAAAACATATGTGAAGAGAAATAAGGGAAAAATTAATTATGGAGATTATACGTGTCTTCAAGGAAATATATTTAGTTGAAAAGAAATGTTAAAGATGTTAAGATTTTAATATTAATGATAGAACTGAATTGGAATGGAATGAGGGTTTTAATTCCATATATTTATAATCCTTTTTTTAAAGAATATAGTGTGTATTATAAGAATGTACCAAGCAGAATTCGATTGGAAGTTATGTATTATGTATTATATTGAATGTCACAACCTTAAGGTATATATTGAAGTTTAAATAAGAGTTGAATGGATGTAATTAAAATATAAAGGTGTCATACTCCAATTAGTAACTACAGGAGAAAATTTGTTTAATGAGAAAAGATAATATGAAATTGAAACAGAACAGACAAAAGTATAAATATAAAGATTTGAATTGAGATGAGATAATCAAAATAAAATTGAGAAAATTAAAAAAGGGGAAAAACTATATAGAAAATGCAAAATAGTTATAAGATATGTAATAAGTAATAAAATAGTAATAAGATAATAAGATATACACAAAAATAAGCATGAAATTGAGTTTGTGTCTGTTTAAAGAAGTGTAACCCGGGACCATGCTATTTTCAAAAAAGATGTTTTACTTGTATTTTGTGTGTGAAAACCCAAATAAACTTTAATTAAAAAAAAAGAAGAAGTCCCTAACCCAGTCCCAATCTTTTTATACTAGGTGACCTTGTTGCCTAGGTGACAACGCGCCGACCCTGCAAGTCTATCATACTATCTTGAAATGAAGTTATTTTCCGT